AAATTTATTTCACGTTAGAATTTTCGCACTATGAAGGTTGGCTTCTTCTTGGCATATTCAAGGAGAAACATGGTTAGTTTTTCGTAACCTCAGGCACATATGATAACTGTTCTGGACTCGTCACACACACACATACGCGTGTTTGTTTTCTGAGGAAAACATCTAAACGTGACCCACATCGGAAGTAGAATACTTCTATCAAACTCCCACCTACTTTTCTACTTCTGGTCTAATCTCTATCCATCTGATGTTTCTAAATTTGTAGGATCCAGAGGAACAGTAGTTGAGTAATGTATATCGTCAAGCATATACTACTGATTACTTGATATGAGTAGTTGGAGGTCACTGGCATCAACCAGTAGTGCTTACAAGCCCTACTATAAAAGTGATCTAAACACCGGATGGTCATTTCCGTTGCTTGACGGCGAAGTCATCAACAGCTTACCCCTACTTTGTATTCAGCTCATTTCAAACCGACCACATTCTAGCTAGCCACTTGAACGAAGTAGTAATACACGATTTGTAATGTATACAGTTTCCGGGGAAAGTTTCACAACACAGTTTACTTTGGAAACCGAAACTGTTCATAACACAAAGTATGTGATTTTTTTTTGACATCATAAATGGATATCAAGGGAGTAATAACTAGGATTAGAAAACTCAGTTTTCAGGAAAATATATATGACGCTACACTATACTGAATATTTATGAACATTATTGTTTTATTGTGTTTATGAATTTCTTCGCTGAACAAAAACTGTATTTATATAATTGACAATTTCCGATGGTTTCAATATCATATATTTGTATCAGAATTTCAAAATGCTCTGAGATCGGTCGGAGAAGCATTGTAAAATCTGCGAGAACTGGACAGCTGTTTCGTCAGCTTAGCTTTTTGGGATTCTTCATCAATAAACACCCACCAGGGCTCGATCTCAGGACCTTCCAGTCAAAAAGCGAGCGAACTTAAAGACTTTTAAGCCTCTGGGGCCCGTATATTCCAACTTCTACCTATTCACAATTTAGCGCGACCATTAGCCAGTGGTTCTAGTCGCTCATGATGAAATCCTGTAACCAATCAAATCTCCGTAAACCAACACTTGAATATCAGTCTGATGCTCACGTAGGCAGTCGAAAGTCGTGACCAGTAAGGTGAAGCAGCAGGTCGCGTGTAAGGAAAAATACTAGCCGATGACATTGGCTAGTGACCGCGCTATATCGTGAATCAGCAGAGATTGGATTTCATTGGACATTGAATCAGGTTCCAGTGGCTTAACGGTCTACTAGATCGCTCGCCTTGGTGGGTACGTACTGATGCGGATCCCAAACTGGGACGAAACATGTGGCTCTCCAGTACTCCCAGATTTTCCACTGGTTCTCTAACCGATGTCAGCTCACGATGAAATCCTGTAACCAATCAAATCCCTAAAAACCAACACTAGAATAAATATTTTTGCCTTTTTGGTTTAAGAAGCAATCATTCAATGTGGCAATTTTTGTGACTATCGTAAACATTTTATGATAACATTGAGAAAGTGGATAACTGGAATAATGCATGTATTTTCAAAATACTTCCACTAGGGGAGACACATGCATAGACCAAAATAAAATCCTACAATGCTGTGTAAAACTGATTGATATGGGTCGACAGACACCACTGAAATCAACCCGTAGCGTTTGCTTTTCAGATCACAGTGTGCTAAACGCCAAACAGTCATTTCTTGCATTCAGGTCCCAGATTGCCATCGGAGCTGTACCCAATTCGACTGAGCTTGTGCGTAGACGAGATAGAATTTTTTCCGTTTCATTTCCGTTCCCAGTGGAACTTAGCACTTCAAGCTTTGGCCTTTGAAGTTTCAGTAGCAATTGTGTTGTTTTTCTTGTGAGGTGTGGTCGCTAGTCTCATGCCTAACCTTCCCCCTTTTCTGGGCTTACAACACGCCAATAAATTAAACATAGTTTAGGACTCTGTCGACTGGGAAATGAACCTCGAACAATGCGCATGGTTGTAGAGCATTCTACTCTTAAACCACCAACGAACAAATAAAAGTTTATCATTGACAAAATAGCTCAGCTAGTACAATACCCGACTAGTAATTCAACAGCCGTGCGTCGGTGGCACAGCAGTTAGGACGCTCGCCGACCATGCACATGGTCCGAGGTTCGATCCCCGGCCGACGCACTCCCAAACCTCGCTCAGCTAGTAGTAAAACTGGTAAAGAGGGAAGGTTGAGCATGAGGCCAGCAAACCCATCTCGTAAATACAAACACCACTGCTACCGAAACTTCAAGCCTCTAGTTTGAAGCCCTATGTTCCACTGGGAACGTAAAGGAATAAAAAAATTCAACAGCCACTGGTTCGGATCTTGCCACGACCTAGAATTTCACATAATGATCTGCAATCATAACGCATTAAAAACATCATTAAAGCCCCGGAAACCACAAAACTATCTAAGATAGTCCCACTGTCACATAATTATAATTTTTAAATATTTTAGTGGTGTGGCGTGTGATTATATTGTTGCCATTATTCCCTCGACTTCCTAGCAGGACATAGGGCTTCAACAGCACATTGTCATTTCACTCTATTCTCTTCAATCCTATTAGCTGGATACACAATCGCCCAAATGATTTCATCTCCACCTCACACGATCTCCTCCATGTCATCTTCGGCTCGACGCCTAACTGGCCGTTGCCCATCTGGGTTCCAATCGACGACCTAACAAGCACTGTGTCTGATCCATCCCAATTTTCTTTGGCATATGTGTTCGGCCATACGTTCTTACGAGTTGATCACGGATTGATATCTGTTAGAGAACCATTGAAAACCAGCTGGGAGTACTGGACAGCTGCTGTTTCATCCTAGTTTGGGAATCATCGGCAGTACGCACCCACTGGGATTCGAGCCCAGGACCTTCCGGTTACAAGGCAAGCTCGTATACCATTCAGCCACTGGGACCCGACTCAATGGCTCATGAATTCTAACTTCTACCAATTCGTGATTTTAGCGCGACCCCAACTATTGTCGTTGGTGGGACATCCATCCACACACGTGACTTCTAATTGGACCTCACTGGTCACGACTTCTCACTAGAACTCCAGGAAGCTCCAACCTGTAGCAAGTCACTAGCGTACTGCCGATGATTCCCAAACTAGGATGAAACAGCAGCTGTCCAGTACTCCCTGGTTTTCAATGGTTCTCTAACTGATATCAGTCCGTGATCAATTCGTATAACATAACTAATCCTTACAAACCAAACCATACGTTCTTAGTTGGCTCGTTGTCAGAATTCCTTTACTACCTATTCCTTTTCTGGCCATCTAATCTTCAGTATCAAGCAAAGGCAGTTGTTGATGAAAGTCTGTAGCCTGTTTGAAATGTTTTCCGTGAGGCAATTGTCAAGTTTCTGAATCATATAGAAGGATTGACTTTACAGTGGTGTTCAAAATCCAAATCTTGTTCTTTGCGCTAATTTTAGCAGATTTCCGCAATGATTCCGGAGGAATGAAGCTGTGTCTTGCTTTTCCAATCGCGCCTTTGAAATTTTCATCCGTTCCGCCTGCAGTCCAGATTATGCTGCCTAGATAAATGAAAGTGGTGACATCTTCCAAATTCCTCTCTTTGATTGTGATTCGTTGGTTATCTTCCCGACTACTGTCTTCTACAAGCTCATTGGAAGTCTTGTCTTCTCTGTAGATTTTCGAGTTTGTATGACATTAGATATAATTTGTCCACAAAGTCAAGATGTTCTAGAGTCTTCTTACCAGTTCCACTTATTCCATTCTTCCGGCTCCCCGCAATCTGCCGTATGATGCAGTCCACTACAATCAGGAATATCATCAGTGATAGTAGGCAGCATTTTGGCATTACATTAAGTATGACTTCTTTTTCAAGGATATTGAGTAACAGAGTTAAATTGCAAAGAGGAGAAATGAAAGGTTCTTGTGAAACATAATATACAAAGTATGAAAGGAAAAGAAGCAGAATATACCTTCATTTAATATCATTAGCTAAGTGAACAGCTCTGATATTAAATACTGTCGTGTTCTGCCATTACAGTGGCTTGCATATAACAGACGTAACCAGCTCTGTTTTTGTTTTACCCTTCAAAAGGAATAGATTATACTCTTATAATATTATTAACTGGAAAACGCAGATGTATTTCAGGAGTTTAGTAGTATACAATGGTTTGAAAGCTTGTGATTTCGTCTACATTTTAGCCGAGATATAAAACTCCGATGGAGATCAATTAAAACAGATTATCTAGGCAGTTGGGCAGTCGCCAACTTGATGTAAACTTTTATCAACAGCTGCCTTCTCTTCATACTGAAGATCGAATGGTCGAAAAAGGATTAGCACAACAAGGAACTCTGGCAACTAACCAACCAAGAACCTATTGCTCAACGAACATGCCGAAGAAAATGGACCCTCTATTAGAAGCCGAGCGAGTGACGGCGAGTTAAGCATAGGACCGAGGGTGACATAGAGGAGAGATTGTGTGAGGAGGTAATAAAATCTTGTGGGCGATTGGGGATCCAACTAATAGGAGTGAAGAGAATAAAATGAAATGACGACAGGCTGTTGAAGCCCTACATTATTCCACTTGGAACCGAAAAAGAATTAATAGTAATCTAGGCAGTTGGTGCATTGGTGGTTCAGTGGTAGAATGTCCACCAACTACGTGGGAGGTCCAAGGTTCAATTCCAAGCCGACACATCCCTAAACATCACCTTTCTCACTAGCCAACAGTAAGCCTGAAAAAGAGGGAAAGCTGAAAATGAGGTCGCTAGCACACTCACCTTGTAAAAGAAATAACACTATTGCTACTGTAACTTCACACGTCGAAGCCATATGTTCCATTCAGAAAGCGAAGAAATGGAAAAAAACTCCAAGCAGTTTAATCATCATTCGTTAAATCAAAGATAAAATGTCTACCACAACCATTTGGAAGAAGAAAATACCAGCAAGAGTAATAAAAAGCAGTTAAATCAAAACTTACAAAGAAAATACGACCTGGTCCTGTAGCACGATTTAAACGTATACCGAATAATCCATTCAATTGACTAGCGAAAACGTGGACAGCAGATGCACATGTGAAACCACCCAAGAGTGGTGCTGACATATATACAACTAACATGCCCAAACGAAATATACCTAACAAGAGCTAGGGGAAAACAAAAATTTGTGAAAATTCGAAGAGAAAACAAAAAACAAATAGGAGCTATCTAAGAACTTAACTACTATACAGAAGATAAGTGACTTGATTTTTTGGAGCATAACTTTGTAAAGGCTTTTATTAGTATGCCGAAGATAAATGGAGATGGATCGAATATACGCTACTGAGGAGACCGTCGGATAACATCACACGCCAGGCAATCGCGCGAGTGGAACCAGAATGGAAAACGATGAGTGCGACGTTCAAAGGGGGGGGGCATGAAGGAGATCGTGGGAGAACGAGGAGGACATGAGAGACTGTAGGCAATACTTGGGTCAGCTAAAGAGGATCGTAGAGAGTAGAATATCAGGCTTTAGGTTTGAAATTTCAGTAGCGGTGGTGTTGTATCCTCACGAGGTAGGGTTGATAACAGCCTGACACCCCATAACTTCCTTCTCTCTTTACCGAGCTTATCACTCATTAAGCCAGGTTTACGAGTCCGTTAGCCAGCAGTCGAACGCAGATTATAAAAAGTCAGAATAAATATATTTTGGTAAGTTGATTATGACAGACAAGTCTCTGCTTACCGCTCATGTTCCAAATAATCAATATTATTAGTGTAGGTCTTAAACATAAAAATATGGTACCCTGTCAACTACTTTATGCGTTTGTTCGATTTCACTTTTCATACGACAGCTCTACGACACTGCTCAGCTGTCTCTCATCCTTTTCAGAGAGCAACTTCCTATCACTGAAATACCAGAATACTTAAGCTTGGTGACATTTACATTGGATACAAAATTGTAAACATAGATTCAGACATATTCATAGGATTGGCCAAAGAAACATTCGCATACTCTTATATGCTATCATACTTGGTAAAATATACAGTTCTGACGCCACTCTATGGGGGCGTGTAGGAACAGATAATGTCCACTACCAAACTCAATCTTCCTTTTCAGGAAGAAGGATTATTTGAAGAATCCTATAGTTGAATAATATCACTTCATCCCTCTTTATAGACATAGTCATCTAAGGTCAGTTGGTAGAGCTTACTAGGCCTGACAAGTCATTCATGAGGCTTGCCGTGTCAAATCCTGCCCCGAACCAAATTTCAGTTTCATTTTGTGCATCATCACTGTGACCCGAGCAATACTAGCTAGAATAAATGTTCCTGCAGGTCCTACCATGCAAGAAAGGCCGTTTGAATAGAGTTTACACCCAAAGCAGTTACCATTATGCTAGAAGTTTGAAGGCTACACACACACCATTATGAAAACCATTAAAAACACTGATGTTCCTTGTGTTTAAGCCATTTCAAGAAGAAAGCAATCACCCACACACTTCTATATTGGAGAGAAATGCTCAGTCTTCGTTGACACGTCAGTCCCTAGTACGGGAGCTTCAATGATGTCTGAACATTACCATGATGCTATTTGGTTGATGGTGATAAGCACTGGGATACGTCGTAATTGAGACTTATCAAGCTGGATGTAATTACCTACGCTATCAGACACTGGGTATATAGATACATTTAGCTGACGAGTCCTATACGGAGTGAGTATCCGAAATTTTACTCCTAGTCACCATCAACCAAACAGATATGAAAATGTCAGTTTTAATTAATATTAAATATTTAATTTTTGGCGGTGAAATTATTTGCTAATTTTTGTGAGAAATATTACTAAAATAGTGCAAGGATTAGTCAACAGGTAATAATCAATATAGGTTTTCAGGTTTGAGCTGAATAGGTTTTGATTAGTGTTCAATATTTATCTTCATCGTTATCACAAAGCCCGCATTGAGTATTATTTGTAAGTGTAAGATCAGACTGATGTTCTCTTTGAAATTGTTGAAACGAAAGTAGGTAATCGAACGTTTGGCGTTTACAACAGGACTGGTGAACATGCAGTTCTACCTAGGGGAGCTGGAAAACCCTGATCGCAAATCCAAAGCATACATGGGCACCAGAATCCAAAAGGATAGAACGGCGTATGAATCTGTTTCAGTCACCATTAACCATGGGAACACTGCTCCTGACACCATTCTACCGCCTCGTGGATCAGATCTCAATTGAAAGGTCCGGAGTGGGTGTGGCTCCTTAAGACAACCACCTTCTTCGGTCTAGGCATCAGACTCGTATCTCAGCCCTCGCGCAAACTATAATATTTTGTGTAACACATCTCCTGGTGCTCATAATGTACCAATTTTGTGTTTTAATAAATAATGGGATAGATTTTAAAACCAAAACTCAAGGGCTGAAACGTAAAATATATGTTAACCAGCGGTCAATGGACTTCAATTTCCTATTCCATTTATTAGCATTATTTTAATTTAGCAAAATGAAGACAGGTTTGCACACCAATCTCTTAACTAAACTAGTTATCTGAAGGGCCCTACGGATAGCTGCCAACTTGACGTGGTGGTCGGGCTTGCATATCCCAATGATCCAACAAGCCAAACTGGCTGCAACTAATGTTCCTACAGGTCCTACCCTGCCAAGAACATTGTTAGTACAGCAACTAGACTGAAAGCAGTCACTGGCATAGTGTAAGATTTTTACACTATGCTGGGTGTCTGACGGAAAAGTAGTACTACTGGGGAACAGGGATCGTTGACGAAATCTCAGCATGGATACAGAAGGCTCGTGTGGCACTTGCCAACCGACGTCATCTCTGGCGTAGAAATGATATCCACTTGTCAACCAAACGACGCGTATACTGCTCAGCAGTCCACTCCATCCTCCTTTAATGGCTGTGAAAGTGGAAGATACGAAAAGGCTAGGTGTCTTTGATCATAGGTGTCTAAGTTCTGTCTCCCGTGTTAGGTGGTATATTAGGGTGAGGTTGTGAAGTTTAATCGACCAAGATGGTGGTTAGAAAAGAGCTAGCTAGTGGTGGTCAGACGAAAACATGACATAAGTCAAGGAAATCTACAACAGCTAATTTAAGCCAGCCAGGCACGTAGGGAGGTGTAGACTTTCTGACTGGTTGGGATCCTCAGGATGGCGAAAACCAATGGCAACTGGAGACAGTTGGTGATGTGGCTCAAAGTCGTTCTCAGTGGTGCAGATGAATTCACTCTTTGTGATTTACAATATCCAATAAAATTCTATTGTTCTTCCGTATTACTATTCTTTTTGCCTCACATTTCTGTTTATTATCTGTCTTTTGAACCTCCCTTACTCTATCCCTTTTGGTTTGTGTGGCACATGCAGTGTGGCAACTCGAACTGCTGCACTTCTGTGAAAAGTTCTATGTTGAAACCAGTCAGCCAGTCAGTCAGCATCTGAACGGTTAAGACAATGTCGCATTATATCATAGTGGATTACATGGTTTTGATGTAGAAGTCATGACTTGCTGTATGAAGTCTGAACGCTTGACAAAAGTTTGGCTATCCCTCTCATTTTGCGTGTGATTTTTAAAAAAAATTTTCATATCTCGATATATACATGAGATTCTGTGCAGAGAAATTCAATTAAAAAAAAAAAAGGAAAACAAATTCCAACTTACTTGAAATATTCCGCCTAGAATACAAACAGTCACGACAATCTTAACACGAAAATCATCTAACTGAGTTTCATTGAAAACTTGATATTTTTCTAAGGAACGATTGTTTGTATCGAATTTTGCGACTAGTCTGTCAACAGGATCAGACGTCAACAGGGCAACAACAGCAAAAGTACCTGTAGACAAAGAAATGTTTACTAGATTATACTGAGTTAGAGTTATGCATCTAAAATAAGTAATACTGCTACCAATTTCAAGTGTAAAAGTAATGGGAATATTACTAATATTATTATTGTCTGCTGCACCCTACAGGCCGTGTGTGAGGAAAAATACTCGCCGAACACATTGGCTAGCGGTTGCGGTATATCGTGAATTGGCAGAAGTTAGAATTCATGGGCTGGCCATTGGATCGGGTCCCAGTGGCTTAATGGTATACGACCTCACCTTGTAACCAGAAGGTCGTGGGTTCGAACCCCGGTGGGTGCGTGCTGATGAAGAATCCCAAACTGGGACGTAGGAAACAACTGTCACAGGTTTCCCAATGGTTATCTAACCAATGCCAGCTCATGGTGAAATCCTGTAAAAAACTCCACTTTCTTCTATTTTCTGCCATCCTCTTCACCTAAGTCCACGATTTACCACAACCTCTCATCTCCTCTTTGCACGATCTCTTCCATGTCATCCTCACACTGACGACCCACTCGCCACCTCCCATTGGGATTCCACTCGAGTGATGGCCTGCAATGCTCGCGATTTCACTCGACGGTCTCTTCAATGTATGCCCGATCCATCTCCATTTTCTCCTACATATCTATTTAGCGATCGGCTCTCGCCTGTCGTTTTGTTCCCATAGTTTCTTGTTACTAATTCTTTCGGATAATTTGATCTTCAGCATGGAGAGAAGACAGCGGTTGGTGAAAGTCTGAAACCTGTTGGAAATCTTTTTCATGACACGCAGTACAAGTTTCTCACCCATAGAGAAGGACCAACTTAACATTGGTGTTGAAAATGCAAATCTTGTTCCTTTTGCATACTTCATTTCGGAGCACCCAATGAGGTTGTTGTTTAGTAAGAGACAATGAAAACTTTGCAATTAAACTGTCCAGTTCACAGGAAAGAACAACATTTAAGACATCAATCATTCTGGTAGAATTCACTGATAAACTGCTGTCAGCAGGTGGATGGATGCATTACTTTACAAATAATAATTAGTTTTGTGCAAGTACATGATACGGGTGACTCAAAGATAGAGAAAAACGAGTTTCAAAAGAGTTATCATAAGCAGAGATATAAGGGAGAGAGGACAGTAACAAGGAAAGAGTGAGTCATATTTGTGTCGCTGAGGTCGATTTCGAGCCATATCACCAATAGTCTTCAGCCATTGGTTCTTAGCACCCCAAGGACTTTAACCAGGAAGTCCACACCCCCTTCTGAAACTAGTTCAAACCAACCTTCAAAGACTTCATGGAGTGATGACAGGTTTTGGTTTGATAAAGCTTACATTTCAGCTAACATCTCTCGACAAGGAAGGCAATGACTCAGCATGCACAGCACGTGTCCTAGTCATTTCAGTCGATTGACCTGCTCTCCTTAACTAGCACTCTACGTCTAGCCTTGGCATTATTCACCATGTTATACCATCTAACAAGACAGACAGGACGCAGACATCTATAGTCAAAGACAGCTAGCCATTTCCATATCTTCCGCTTTCATTCGTCATGTCTCATAGCCATAAAGGAGGACTGGAATAAATTGAATATATCAGAAATGTCTCAAGGGTTCCTTCGTTTATTTTAAAGTCAATGTTAGGAATTCTGAACATCTAAAACTTTGAAGTAAGAGAAATAATATCATACTCAAACTCATTTGAATGTGGTTATAAGACTTAGATGAGTTTAAAAATCGGTAGTTAACAGGAAGTAATCAACATTAGTCTTCATTTTGAATTTGCCTCCTCTAAATAATGAGATAGATTTTTCATTCACACAGTTTATCAAAGAAACAGCAGTGAAATAAAGGATAGGCATTTTCATTAAGAAAAAAGTTCAATCAAACTCAGTCAAGTAAACTACTTATATAGTTTTCAGTAGTAAATAGCTATCCGTTCAATCATGTTAATTTATAGCGTCGTTGGTTCAATGGTAGAATACTCGCCCCAACCACGCACATACTCCAAGGTTCGACTCTCGGCCGACGCACTCCTAAACTTCGCTTAACCGATAATAAACTCGGTAAGCATGAAAGGTTGGACGTGAATCTAGCAACGCCCCCCCGCCAACCCCGTAAAAAATAAACACCACTACTCCTGCAACTTCAAAGCTGAAGCTTGAAGCCCTATCTTCCACCCGGAACACAAAGGAATAATAATGATAAATAGAATAAAGTACTTTATAGTGGACGAGAGATGGTTTAATTTCAATTCTTCCCTTTATTCTCTATATAACACACTACAGTTAGTAAATTTAAATACTAGTTTAGGGTTATCTTTTACCAGTCTCTATTTGAAATGACGATCTTTCAATTCAACAGACAGTTCCCTGTCTAACAAGTCACTTGTCTCCAACTTCCACTGTATAACCGACTAACTTACTCATCAACCCTGCAAGAATTATAATTCTAAGCTTTCTTTAATTGTAAAGTACTGACGCATATGTATGCTTTTTCCATCCCTTTACATTCAGAGTGGAGCATACCGCTTCTAGTTTTAGTTTTGTAGTTTCGCCAGTGTTGGTGTTGCCAACAGGCTCAAACTAGGCTTATCACCGGCTACGCAAGGTTTAGAAGTACGTCGGCCGGAAATCCCACCCCCACCGCATACCTAGTTGGCAAGGAATCTACCAAGGATCCATTGACGCGACGATATTCAGTCGACAGTTCACTACTGTTTCCTTCGGAAACCAAATATGTGACCTGTATTATACCATAAATTTCAATCAACGTACTAACGTTATGTCCATTATCGATGGAGTAGTTGGAAGCCATTGACATCAGAAAGTAGTGATGGTCGTAACAGTGAATATTCATCATATTAAGTAGCTTAAAAATCCCCATTGAGTCACATGAAACAGAGAAGACGTTCAGCGAAGAGACACTTTTCGGCGAATCCATTCACATAGCTGTTCAATCGCACTTATATATAATTATTTGTGTGTGTGTGTGTACATGAGGTTTGTAAAGTTTAGATAATTAATCAGGTAATACAAGAATGACCTAATATAGAAACAAGGTTAATTAGATAGTGACTAAAGTAAGATTGAGTTAGTAAGTTACATGACGTAATATAATTGACTAAAATCTTTCAACTTAGGTCAAGACGGCAACAGAGGTAATTACAGGTAGAGACTAAGTAGGGGTGAGGTAGAGAATAATGCCATTTAAATTAGGACTAAAATTGAGGAAACACAAAAGTAATTATATATAAATGCGATTTTACAGCTATGTGAATGAATTCGCCAAAAAGAGTCTCTTCGCTAAACGTCTTCTCTTTTCCAATAGTCATTTTGCTTGTTTGCAGCCAATGTTATGAACGGTGTACCAAGTTACGCTCAGCTCATCCAGTCGAATTATCTCCAACTACACCGCTATTTTGTCGACCTTATTGACTGATATTAAGTGGTATAAAGGAGATCATATATATTGTGAAATAAACATTTTGGGTTTCTGGGGGAAAACGTGATAATATCTCACCCGAAACTTTATAATTTACAAATGAAAAGTTTGACTTTGTGCATAACCAATCCAGTTACTCAGAAGCTGGACTGTTTCGAACTGATTCAGCTTTTTCAGCTGAGTCTACCCTAGCAGATAACTGATAAGCTCTCTCACTGTCTAAACCATTACCACCTAGTTAACATGTGGCGTGTGTTACTGACAAGACATTTTCAGTAGTGCATAAAGAAACCCTAAAAAATATCAAGTAACGGAGACAGATTTGACGTCAAAGGAAGAAAATGAACCAGTGTAGTGCGGCAAAACATGGGAGACACGAAAAGAAAACAAAGAAGCACAATACGAAGAGTAGAAGTAGGACAACAATGAAGATCCATGCAAATGACGATTTTAATATGAGGCATATATAACTTCCCTATATATGTATATCGGTGGCACAGCGATTAGGACGGTCACCGACCATGCACATGGTCCGAGGTTCGATCCCCGGCCGACGCACTCCTTTAACCCGCTAAGCCTGATGCTGGTGAAAAGGAAAGGTTGAGCATGAGGCTAGCAACCCCATCCTGTAAAATAAACACTGCTACAGAAACTTCAAGCCACTAGCTTGAAGCCCTATGTTCCATTGGGGAACGTGAAGGAAAAATATATATATATATATATATGTCAAGTTGCTAATAAACATTCCGTTATCAAACACTACGAATTGACATAAGTGGTTCCCAACTATTCATACCATATTGCAACATATTATTTATTATTATTGTTCCCTTGAGTTCCGAGTGGAACATAGGGCTGGCTTCACCAACACATTTCTACTTTTGCCCAATAGCTCTTCATAATAAACTACTTTACTGTCATGAAAAGTTGCTACAGTTCCCAATACATAAACATCCCTGAAAATTAATCAAGCGACTTCACAGTCTCCAAACCATCTCACTGCTGTGTCTTGTCTCGCGTTAATACTACTGAAAATTAACAAACATACGCATTAGTCTCAATGTGACATCAAAACAATAGTCCTGTTAAGTAATGAAAGTGAAACCCATTCACAATAGCTACATAGAAGACTGTTCCTATATGTAATAAGAATTAAGCTTTAATATATATATATTTCCACATTCTATCAAACGGTACTCATAGAAATTAACAAAATTAACAAACTTACCTACTGATACATGGCGTGATGTACTAAAGAAAAAATATACCAATGCGGGAAAAAATGAGGTATACAATCCGTTTATAGGTTTAGCTCCAGCTAAAAGTCCATATGCCATGCCTGTTCCAAAAAAAAAGATTCTATATCACAGCAAATAACAACAAGCCTACCTTGTGGTACATGAACTATTGACATTGTTATCCCAGCAACTACATCTGATAGAAATGACTGGAATGTATAAAATGAAGCCAATACAGAATAAAATGGAAAAATAGAGGATAAAACACTAAGAAATCTTGAACATGTACAACTTCTTAGGATTGCAGAGAGAGAAAATGGTTTATGCACTTCAGTTGATCGATGATACTCTTCTGAAAACTTGTTCACAGTGTATACTTCACGTGTTACTGAATACTTTGAATGTAGTAATTGGCTATCGGTGTTGTCATCATCTTTTGACATCTAAAATATTAATATGATATAAATGACAGGTTAATCTTCTTCTTCATAGAAGGTAAAATAGTTTAAAAAGTACTTAAACCGAACTGATATTTATGCAAACACTGTTTTAGAAAAGAAGCCTGCATCAGCATTATCATTCTTCAAACCATTAGAAAAATGTCTACTTTTCTTTATTTCTGATTGCAGCTTGATTCCACACCGTATTTTTTGGTACAGGTATGGAATTTTCAGCATGTGATATCGGTAGCCCAAATTTTGCAGGCCGACCATAGATATCGGGTGTGCGTAGGCAAGGGATCGAACCCCGGACCATGTTCATGGTCGGCGAGAGTCCTAACCACTGTGCCACCGACGCACAGTGGTGGTGTAAGTTAAACGGAACAGTCTTTAAAATGACAATTCACAGACTTAGAAAAAGGACAACCAATTTTATGCAAAAAGCAAACCTGTCTATGTTACTTGAATCAATCAGAAATTAATGCGTTTCATAGATAGACTGTTTGTCCGTGTATAATTTTTAGGAATGAGGTATGATGTAAGTAAAGTTTTTATAAGATTTTTTGGGAAATTCTGAATGACTGACTAAGTTACAAGATAGTGTACTTTGCATAGAAGTGCAGCAGTTCAATTTGTTAAAATCGATGTAAAACACAAAAGTAGAGATAAAAAAGACTTTAAAAAAAACTAAAATAATGAGAATATTAGGATATTACAACAAGAAAAAGGTTCTGAAGTGGTTATAATGAATAAGGATGACTACATACCTAAAGTCAAGTTAATTTTAGAAGACTCATCAAGATTTGGATTGAACAGTACAAATAAAGATATGAGTCCACAAAGAAGCGAATTACCAAGAAACTGGAAGAGCTTCTAAAGAATAAATGAATAGACAATTCAACCTATAATGATTTTAGACCACGAAGTTCGCTCCTACTGTACATGTGTGATTCACCCAAGATACATAATCCTATTGTTCCAGTAAAACCCATAATTCGCCCTACCGTAAAAACTCGCCAGACTGTTAGTTAAAGTGCTACGACTGATTCGTGAAAAGCTGAGAATACATCATTTGAAAGACAACTTTGAATTCACTTAGATGTTAGTAAATCTAAAAGTCGTCAAAAAAATCATGGTATCACTTGATATGACCTCAGTATCCACAAATATCCCACTGAAGCAAACTACAGAAATTTGTATGTTGACATTCCGACTTGTTTCCTTTTTATGAACGAGAATTTAAACACCTACTTATGTGCACTAAGAATATGCAGTTCTAATTCAACGACGTCTTGAACCTCCAGACTGATGGAGTTGCGATAGGCAGTCCATTAGATCTCTTGATGGCGAATATTGTGGGTTCCCTTGGACGGAGAAGCTTAGAACACAAGGTATCAACTAAACTATTTGGCCCTTACAAAAGTGTATTGTTGATTCTACACCTCTGTTCAATTTATAAAATTCGTCTGTAATCCTAGAGTATTACTTAATTATTTTCGTACATACCAAAGGGCTTGACAACAGTTCTTATTCCTTTCCATTATGCCACTGGTGTGCTGGGTGTCATTAAGTTGGAAGTTTATACAGTGCGTCTTTAACCAATAAATCATAACATATCAATCGATTTGGCTGATTAGGATTTTTGTGATAATCTAAATTGAAAAGACATTATAACTATCTGCCGTTTATCTCCTCTCAACAGTTTAATACATTACTACACAAAACAGGTTGAGTTACATGTCGTGGCCCGCTAGTTTCTCGAGGTAAATACTATTTTTAAGAAATATTTATACTAATGCCTACCAGGAGAAGCAGTTTCACCAAAATAATTAGGTTCAAAAATAAGCACTTCAACCAGTTAGCTTGCTTGCTACTGGTTTCTCACATAACCTTTATCAATGTGTTTTGTTATTGAACATGTCGATATATGACAATAAACTTTTGAAGTAACATACAATATTGCACTATGCTAGTGGTATTTGCAGCATCGTAGAAATGGTAGGTGTCTAAATACCCGCGAAAATTTTGAGCATTACAAGTGGTTTTTATTTTAATTTTGAGTGACACTATGTTATTGCAAATTTCACTGGTATATTCACAAAATATTAGGGCCACTTTCTATCTAGACAGTCGTCTGGTTAACTAAATTCATCATTACTTATTGAAATGAAAACAGCCTGTACGGAATTTGTTCATGAATCTGTCTGTGACTATGTGCGCCCAAGATATTTGTCAGCGACATTTAAACAACTAAGTATCCACTGACGTTCTACAGTTTACATGGGACGTAACACAATGCCTACAAAAAATTAGTCCTTAAGGCATATAAAGTTTGGCACTCTGGAGTTTCTTTTTGTCGACAGAAATCAAGCAGAAGTAAGGCTAATTTGCTGCTGAAGTGCCATTAAACTAAACACACTTCAATTTCAGCTAACGACATTAAACGAATTTTTCATAGGATGCAGAAAAGTTTATCGGTAAAGAAATAATTAGCTTGGATTTATTGGTAAAAAATGTCTCCAGTGAGTAGTGCTTGACGGAAGCTTTAAAAAACTTTCTACTGATGTTTTCAGAGCGGTTTGATATACTTCCTTATGCAAACACAATTGAGAACTTCTTTTGTGTAGATAGTAGGACAACACAACTACACATTATTGCTGGCTTTCAAAGCCGAAAGTCTATTGTTTTGTGGGGCATACCTAATATTACCTACATATAGATAAAATACCACAAACATTTGTAACAAAAACATGTGGATTATTGATTGTAAATTCAGCATGACTTTTTATTCTACTTTATGTATTACCTCCGACAGCGTGCAAAACCGAAATAGCCACAATTTTCTAGTATACAAATCCAAAAAAGAAAGCATAAACCAGAAATCGACAATGCATGATGCATTTAAATCTCACAAAATGACACAAATACGGCGACTTCATATCACTAACCCACTGAAGTACTTTTTTGTGATATTGTGGAATCATAATCTTCAGTAGTCCAGTAAGTCTTTTGTGTAAACTCAACAGGAAAGCTATTTCTCAGAAGTACTCACCCTATCAGAGATCCTTTTAAACTGAAACGATAATACTTTAAGCATTAAACGATGTCTGTTTAGATAAATATGACAAGTGTCATAAACTTAGGGTTATTGAATGAATAATACATAAACTTCAAGTAAATGCATAACTCAGCTGAGTTACGGTTATGCAAGCAAATTGATTATCCCGTGAAAATTTTTCAAACGTTAGCCATGCTGAATTATTCATGGAGTATCTAACGAAGGTATTTTCATTCAGCATTACAGCTTCCACAAACGTGTTTGTGGTTTTATTTTAGAATTATTTAGATTATTAATACAACAAAAATATTTTTTAAGTGTACTTTATGCCTAGCATATAACTGAACCTAATTTTAGTTGTTTAACTGAAAGAGTTAGTTTGGAATAACTGAAACACTCATTTCAAGATTGGGAACACAATAACCTTGTGAATCAGTCGGGTGTACAGCATCATTTTTAAAACAGTTCCACTAAATTTCGAAAAATCATTTTATTGTCATATCGTAGGTTAATTAACATTCGATCAAAATTTCTTCAGCTCCACACACTTTTGAAAACACTTACCTTTACAAAATATGATTTAAATACACGCCATCGTTTGAGGATTTTCTTTGGTGTGGTTAAACACAAGAACCTTCTAATCACTATGAGCACAGATTTTAAGTGCTGTCGCGATGAGTTTGAAAAAATCAAATGCTGCCTATTTCTTCTTAAGTCTTCAATCTACATTTGTCAGTGAGGAGGTATGGATACGAACCGTCAAACATCTACTACAGTGCCCAAGTTTTATACTTATATCAATAAAACATCATTTTCAGAATAACTAATCAAAATTTAGTGCTATTTTTAGGTAGAAAATAAGTTGTGAAGAGCATTCCTATTCGTATGTATTTGATGTAATGTGTGAAACAGCTGCTTCGTTGCTTCGGACATGCTGACTGATAAGCACAGGCAGAAATAGGTAGTCTTGATAACACTTTGCAAATTAAGTGATCAAATTTATTAAATGTCATTCTTACTCATTCGCACCTTTCGCTGTCTTCCTCCTAGATACTTCGTATCTTTGTTGACGTTTCGCTATCACATTTTTATTATACTTGTAGCGGTAGGAAATTCCCCAGAATTATTAGCCACAGTATTCATCACTGAACATCGGATGCTGACCATTACTGTTTAGGTCGACTTGTTTAGCTGTAGGTGAAGTGCCCCGCTTTATTATTCACCGTCGTAGTATACGTTTACTATGTAATTGGACTTTGATTTGCTTATCATTCTAACGATTGCGTGTTAACAATTAATCCATTGTACTCGCTCAAACTTTCAATTTTGTCAACTGCGATAATACACGTTCGTACTCCTTCTCAAGTGCCTTTTGATTTGCGTTGTGGATGTCGAGTAATCACAACGTTTGGATAAAATAATAAACGCAGAGAAGTACTAGGATATACGTGCACGCTAGTTTTATCTAGTAGAGCGACACAACAAAGGCTTCCGGTCAAGCATCCACGCCATTTGGCACGCCGTCATCTTACGTTCATTCTGTCGTGTACGATATCTAACTAGTTAAATAACCATCTTGCACTACGATTTGGTCTTGAAATATACTTCGTAATTTGGACGATCCATTTGGGTGTTATACTTTGCCTTTGGTCTACGCCGAACGAATACTATGGAAGTTGTGAGCATTATATCTTGCGTTAGTATACTTCGTACTATCCGTGAATGTCAACACGATCAGCCTCTAAATGCTCAAAAAATATGACGAAATATTCGTGATCAGCCTTCAGTCAGTGTAAACCAAACTGAATTGTTCTTGCTCACCTCTTGGTTGTCATGTAAAAGTTGCTGCCCCTCGGTAAACTTTTGTATAGTGTCTCCCCCCGTTGGGCAACCTTTGTTTGAGTGATCCTGGTGATTTACAATCTTGAGGGCAGTAATTAGGTAA